TAAGATATATATATGTATATATAGGACTCAGCTTGTGGTTCGGAACATGAATATATACACTGTAGGAGGAGTCGTTGCCTTCAATGTTAAAATATAAAAAAAAGTTTATGGAAAATTAAATTGATCGGAAATTCAAGTCTGATAAAGAAATCCTTTTATGTGCGAGCGTTTGCTGTATTTATATAGTATCTATATATATCTATATCTATATAAAGTATCTATCTATCTATATATATTTATATACATATATGCTGATCGCGAGATACGCTTACAAAATCTACATTGTTTCTGTTTTGTTAATTATCTAGCTATTCCATTAGCCTATTATGCAAATTTCTGCCTCCCACCTGGTTACTCAGTAGGTTAAGCTGCTTACGCAGCGGGTGGGGGGTGGCAAGGTGTTGGGTTTACTTTTAATTCCGTTTCGTTATCAGCAAATGTATGCAAATTTGTTAGGCACACGAGGCCGAAACCCCCAAAGACCCCCAAAGGCCCCTATCCAGTTTGTTAATGGGTCGATAATTTTGTAGATTGCGCTCAACAGGTTGAAGAACAGTCAACAGAAAATATAAACATTCAAGAGCGCAGCAGTCTACAGTGCACGACTAGTTGATACCCTGTAGACAATTAAGAGATGTCGTAAGAAAATAAATAAATGAAATACATAGATGAATAAAATGTTGTACATTTAGGTTATATAATCTCCGTGTTATGATTGAAGTACTCTGACTGAAAATATATATTTATCGATTTCACTAAATCGAGGAAAGTAATCGATAATATTAAATGCCGCAAATGACGAAGAATCTATGAAGCTTCTAGTCTCTTAGACAGACAGATGGAAATGGATCCCTCTGATCCTGAACGGGAATACAGTGCATATATATTACAGGCAGTTACATACTTCAACAACCCCATTTTTGTTTTAAAAATCTATTTTTCGTTTGTACAGGGTATACCGAGGTATAACGAGGTTGCGTCATTTGCTCCGGTGACGCCCACAAGGCCTCCAATCGCCCCATTTCAGGGAACTGGCGACAATGCGAGAAGCGACAATCGACATCGGTTGTTGGCCATATATGAACGGGAAGCCTTATAGACTCGTTCCGAGTCGACTCGATTCGATGCCCGTTGTGGTTATGACGGCTTTTGTAGTTACCTTTGCTATACAAGGTAAATGCAAGTCTGAAGGGGTTTCGGGTGGAGGGGTGCTCAGGTGTGCGCTTTGTTTGTATTTATTGCGTATATGTTGTGTTTATTATTCTCTTCTGTTGCCATTAATTGAAAACGAAAACGAAATTAACAATAACAAAGAGAACAACAACAATATTTCTGGCTAAACAGTTGTATTGTTTAAAGTGCATAAACAAAGAGCTACACACACACACACACATACGTACACACATAATTATATTAAATTTATTCGCCTGACAACAAAATAAAACTTTTGGTTCGTTGACCGAGTTTTTGGGCGAACCACTTTCCCCCCCCTTTTTCTCTATGGAGAGGCGGCATCACGTTGCAAAATTTTGTTTATTATGTTTTTGTATATATGTATATATATATTTGCATATAAGTATGTGTGTGTTTGCGTTTGTATGTGTATTGTGCACATGTTTTTGCATGCAGATTTAATTTGCTTTTGTTTATTTGACCAGTTTGGCAACTGAAAACGCGACTCGAACAGCTTCCGTTAGTCACTGTGACAGTGTTGCAAAAGCTATTTATTTGTCTTAAGAACAGAACTTTGTTTTCCACTTATATTTCACCTGGGTGGGAATCTTTTCAAGAACCATTTTTGTATCATTTGTGAGAGTTTTAGTTTTAAAAGTGTATGTTCCTTTTTTATAGTTCGCAATAAATGTAAACTTAAGGATTTGTTGATTATTTTCTAAGCACACGAATCTTAAAATAATATCACAAGCAAAATGTTTATACACAGTTCTTCAGCTGTTATACGAACTTGTGGGCTCATGCATGGCGCTTAGTGTGGCTTATTCATATATTTTCAATGAAATCAGCTACTTTTTGACAGTTAACAACACTGGTTTAATTACATTGCTTACTCAACCAGTGTTTCTTTCGCATATTAAACATGCCAAGTCCCTTGTTTGACAGCTTGCGGACCAATGTGCGAGTTGTGCTTTTGCTTTGTTCGCGTGACCCGCTGAGCAAATGGGGGAAATGGCAACGTAAGCAAATCCAATTTGCTTGCTGATGCTGGAAGTGGCTAGTGGAAGGGGGAAAGGGGAAGGGGGGCAGGTAATGGTGACGACGTCGAACCGGTTGAGTATTTGCCCAGCGCTTAAAACCGAGCTCAGCTGGTCAAGTCACGTAGATTTCTTGCAGATAAAACGCGACTGCAGATGAGTCAACCCGATTAGCAAATGGGGGAATGGTAACTGGGCTGCCAAGAGGTCAAAAGGTGGACAAATTTTGCTTTCAGCTTTCTGCTCGGTACTCAACAACACGAGTGCGTAATGGAAAACGCAGGCATTCAACCTGTCACACGACGCGCTGGAAAACGTAATTTGAAACTGTAAAACACATAAATGGGAAGGTGAAAATGGGAAATAGAGTAGGCAGGGGGGGGGGGGGGGAGGGGTGGAGCTGGGTCTATCCCTGACAGCCATGCCTCCGAATGCCACTCAATTTCAATTAGGGCACATCACTCAACAGTCAAATCGCTTTTATGCCCTCATGAAGGGTATTCTACTTTTGTCTCGAAGTATGTAACGCATGAGATTCAAGTGCGATCTTATAGCATATATGGGCACACTTTTTAAAATCATTGAAATGCATTGAAAACTTTCTAGATCTTCTATTATTTTGATCCTGCCAGGGATTATGGTCAATATGAAATCGGTTAACTTCTGGATAGTCTTTAGTATATCCATCAGGGGAGAACACAGGATTACTATATAATATAGATCACATAGAAAATATAGAAACAATCGGTGTATCAGCCCAAGATCAGAATATTATCACATACATATATACATCCTGGGGTATTTAATTAAGCGAAGCGAACCCCAGTTTCTTGTTGCTCTCTTCCATCAATAATTGAAAACCTGCTGGTATTTTTAGCTATCTGGCAACCCTTATCAAAGTCAAAGCGGTCAAAGGGGGCAGCCTTTAAAAAGCTCAGAGTCTGAGCTACCCCACGTGCGGTCTTTTAAACTGATAAGCGCGGGGAGCGGGCGGGGCGGGCTGGCAAGAGTGCACAATTGAATTTGCCGTGTCAGAGAGGCATCAATAATGTTGTTGTTGTTGTTGTGGCTGCCTTCTGTGCATTTGCATTTGTTTGGTTTTATGTGCTTTATCGTTATGCGTCAGGGTTGCCATGTGTACACTGGTTAGCGGAGCAGGGGGCAGGCTGGGTGCGCACCGCTTATCGCTGTTTGCCTTTTAATTTTTATTGCTTCTGACGAACGAACGAACGGCACACGCACCCCGACAACGAGATGCTCTTATGCTATTTTTGTGTTCATGCAACAGTAGCCCCCAGAACCAAGCAGCCCCCGGGCTGCGCGCTCACACAGGCAAGCAAAGAGCACACAAACACACACATACATACAATGAGCTCTCTGCTTCTTGTGATATTCTTAATGCTCAATACGCTAGCTCTACACTTTTTGCTTTTACTGTTAAACGCTTGAGGGGGACAACCAAAACAAATAACCAAAAAAAAAATAACACAAATTTGTCTACTAAACTGTTTTCTGCTGTCCCCACCACTGCACGGCGCGGCGGCTTAAAGACAACTAATCTTATTTGCGGCGAAACTGTGCTAAGCCTAATGCGCCGAAAGAGAGTATGAAGAAAAGTGAGTGTGGGAGAGAGCTGTGGCAGCCAGAACAAGAACTAGTCCAATTAATTAAACGATTTGTAAACACAATGCAATGATTAATTGCACACATACACACAAATGCATATATGTACATACACTCACAGACGGTTTCTTCATTGCATTTACTTTTCTTCTTCTTGCCTGGGATTATTGTAGGATGTGCTAGCGTGTGTGTGTGTCAATATATGTGTGTGCGAGAGTAAAAGTACATCTCTTACTCTTTTCAAGACTGAGTTTCAAGCAAATCAGACGCTGCGACACTGAGTTTTGTTGAGTAGGCGGCATCGTCTTGAGCTGTTCATGTCTGAGACTGAGAGCAAATGTCGGGAAGAGAGCAAAATCATAATAATCAAAGGGCAGCAGCGCCGTGGCGTTGATTCTGCCTGCGGCTGCAGATAAGCGCACTCACACACACACACACACACATAGGCTGGCACGCCAGCAATAAAAAGAGTTAAATGACCCGCTTTTGACAGGAACTGCAGCGCTCACCTTCTTTCGCTGGAACTTAGGTACGTCGTGTATCGTGTGTACTCTTCTTAAACAGCAACAAATTCAGCAAACAAGAACACATGTTATTTGTAAGGCTCCTTCGTTACTTTACACAAGCATTAAAATACACACATATATTGAACAATCACACACACGCACACGGCCCGCGAGCTGTAAGGAAAACAAAAAACACACGAAAAAACGGAGCGGCAGAGCGAAGCCGCATACGAACTAAAGTTATTGAACTTGGGTGTTGCTATACGAGCCGGGTTTACATATGAAACTTGTAACGAAACCGCAAGCAATTGTGCTTTCAATAATTGAACAAAATCAACAAAATAAAATAGAATTTAATTTTTTCTCCGAAACCGAACAAACCAAGGCGAGCAGCGACGAACTAGTGATGCTAGCTGCGACGATATGTGCAGGAATATGCCATATCGATATATCGATGCATCTAATTAAACGATAGTTTGATGGGCTCACTGCTGACTCAAACGATATTTCTGTGAGATATCTCTAAGCACCACTGAGAAACGATTATTTGCTCACTGACGAAAGCTCATTGATACGAAACGTGCCCGCTATGATTTGAATTTAAACTGCAATTTAATTTTTATGTTTATGTTTCAATAAATCAACCTTGAGGAGTAAAGCAGGCATTGCATTTAATTATTTGACACATTAGGGTGCAATTAAATCGAAAAATTTTTAAACACATGGGAATTTGAGTATTATCTAATTTGAGATGTCCAGTCGTGAAGGTGGCAAGAAGAAGCCCTTAAAGGCACCCAAAAAGGAGGTCAAAGAAATGGACGAACTGGAAGTGGCCCATAAGCAGAAGCAAAAGGAGCAACTAAAAGCTCTCGAGGCAGCCAAACAGAAGGTAGCTCAAAAGGGCGGCAAAAAGAGGGCCAAGTGAGCCAAGTTAACTAAAAGGACACTCGCACACACACACACACCCCCATTTACTTACACACACACACACGCACACGCCCAATCCTGCTGCAATAAAATTGACTTAAATTCCATATTGCCCAGTTGGATGATGATTAATTGCCTGTGTCTCTGCGGGGTCGGGGGTTGTTGGTCAGCCAAAAGATTGCGCTTAAAAAGCCATCACAAAAATGTGACAGCCACAAGGATAAAAAAAAAAATAGGAAAGAAGTAAAAGAATAACCACAACCGGACACGGGAATTGAGCGCAACAAATGCGGCAAATTGGAATTTTATGCGTTTTTTATGTTAATCAAAAAAACCTAATGGACATTGCGCCCGATGTGTCCTGCCTGTCAGAATGGAACATGTGCGTCAATTCTTTGTATTAATCAAACGATGATACGATTTTAGTTGATAAAACCTCAGCTAAAAGTGGTTAAATCTATGCAGCAAAACGTTTACGAACTGCGCACAAAGCAAAACTCGAGAAAAAGAGAGAAGGAAAGGGAGAGAGAGAGAGAGAACTTTCATTTATATATACATACAACACTTATCTACACTTGGAGAAAAAATTGGGAATTCCTTACTCAAATCAGAAACAAACTTTGCCTGTGTCTAAATTCTTAAATAGAGAATTTTCTCCTTACAGCTGAGTTTCCTAAATATTAGACTAAAATACAGTACTTATTTTAAGAAATATTGTACTTTCACTGCGAAAATTATTCTTTTAAGTATTTCTTTCTTAAAAATCTCTTTCATAATTTTCTAACATCAACTTTTAAATATACAATCGAGAAGAATTTATAGATAAATTAAAAAACTAATAAAAACTACATATTCTTAAAATTTTCAAAAAAGAAATCAATTCTATTCCTATCTACATTTTCTCTGAGTGTAACTGCTTTCAGATGTTAAAAAAACGGACTTTAAAAAATAGACATTAAATCTATTTCTACCATATTTTTCTAAGTGTAACTACTTTCAGATGCTTAAAAACCGGAATAAACGTGATATTTAAATAAAAAGAAACATTTTCAATTATAATCTTGTTCAATTTTTCTCTCAGTGTAGCTGCCTTTAGATGTTATATATTATTGATATTTAAAAATAAAAGGAATATAAACTCTATTCCTATCAAAATTTTCTCTAAGTGTAATTGTTCACAGTTATAAAAATTCAATTTGTCTGTGTTTATCATCATATTTAATATTTAAGCCTTTTTATGGAAAACGTATTTGAATTGATTTATACAAAATTTAAATTACATTTTTAGAGCTAAAAATTTGATAGACTTGCTTTAAATATTGTACATAAACATATGCGCACATATATATGCAATTATTATTATTAATTCGCTTAAGTTTAGGCAAAAAACATAACACAAAAATACATAAGCAGAACTCCTAGATTTATATATATATGTATATATATTAATTTTAAGTAAAACTAATTGAATTAAAGAAATAGAGTTGGGTTTCTTTTTTTTTATAAAAAATTAAGCTGAATGCGTAATCGTAATCTAGAGGAGGAAGCATTTGATATGTTGTAAAAATGTTAAATATTAATTATACTTTTAGCACTAACTGTATATCCATATATATCTATATATATATAGCTATATATATATACGATAGTTGTAATTGGTAGAAATGTACAATTAATTTAAATAATTAATAACAATTCGAATTAGTGAATAAGCATTTTGATTTCATTACGAGCGTGCTTTAGTTTTAATTAAATGCTAGAACTATGTTGATTTTATGCATATTATTATTAATTTATTTTTATATTGTTGTTCGCGTTGTTCTTGTCCTTCTTCTTCTTCTTGTTGCTGGCACACTTTGCAAGTCTTCTCTAATTTAATATTAATTTTAATTGTAATTTTAATTAATTGCATATTTGCCGAGTATTTTAAATTGAATTTCAATGGGTTTTGTCGTGTGAGTTCTTCTTTTTGTTAATATTATTTTATAATTTACAAGCTTACATAATATTTAACAACATTTAATGTCTTAACATTTGCATTTGAGCCAAATATTTAATAAAAATTGCTAAACAAATTTAGGGTACTTATATTTTTTTTTTAGAAATTAATTTTGAATTTTTAAGTTGTTGCGTTTTTTTTTAGAATTTTCTATGTACATTTTGCAGCGTGTGAGAGTCAGAGTGAAAGATTGATCCCATTTAGTTGGCACTAAAGGGGGGGGGGGGGGGGCTGTTTGACTGTCTGCGCCTGAGAGGGGATCTAATCTATTCTAGTCTGTGGCACAAAATGGGAGCTTGACTTTTGCTAGTTTATGCCCAATAGTGGAGCTTGGATCTTGGTAAGTTTTGGGATTAAAAGTGGGACCTTTGTATTTAAAAGTGGGGATTTGATCCCTGATAGTTTGCATTAGAGTGGCGCTTTGATTCTTGTTAGTTTTGGGATTAAAGGGGAGGGGCTTTGATACCTGCTAGCCTGCGCTTCAAAGTGGGGCTTTGATCCCTGCTAGTTTGTTCCTCAGAGTGGAGGATTAATCCTTGCTAAGTAACAGTCCCCACGTTGGGATTTGATCCTAGTTATTTTGCAGCACAGGGTGGGACTTGATTCCTGCTAGCTTGTGCTCCAAAGAGAGCTTTAGATCCTTGCTAGTTTGCGATTAAAGGGGAAAGGGCCTTGACACCTGGTAGCTTGTGCCCAAATGTAGACCTTTGATCCTTTCTAGTTTGCAGTAAAGGCGAGTTTTGATCCATGTCAGCTTGCGCCTTTGAGTAAGAGTTTGATCTCTGCTGGTTTAAGCTTTAGAGTGGGAGCTTGATCCCTGTTTGTTTGTGCTCTGAAATTGGGCTTCGATCCTTAATAACTTTCGCCTCAGAGTCGGGGCTATGTTCCCTGCAAGCTTCTGCTCCAAAGAGGTGGTTAAATTCCTGCTAGTTTGCGCCTCAAAGATCCTTTGATCCTTACACGCCAAAGTTGGGCTTTGATCCCTGCTAACTTGTACACCTCAGAGTGGAGCTTGATTCCCTAGAGCTTGTGGTCTCATGTTAGGCTTTGATCCCTTCTAATTTCTCCCTCAATATGAAGCTTTGATCCCTTCCTGTTTTTCCCAACGGTTCACTTTATGTCATAATGCTCACACCTAATCCCAGCCAGACTTCTGCCCCCACTTCACCCTCTGCCCTTCCCTTATTGGTTGCCCTTGCGCGCATTGAAGAACATGCGCGCCACCTTGCCGAGTGCGCCGACAAAGTCCCACCGATCCGACTGCTGCTCCAGCTCCTCGCGATGCTGCTGCTGTTGCCTTTGCTGGCAAGCGGGCAGCTCGAAGGCTGCCTGCTCGTGCCGCGCCTAGGAGGGCGTCGAGTACCAGGCGCTCGCCGGGCTGCCCTTGTGGTACAGATGGAAGCTCGAGTGGGGCGCAAAGTACTGCGGCTGGTCGAGATTGCTGTAGGTGACGCCGCCCTCCGTTGTGGTCGTCGCATGCGGATGCATCGCCGCCGTATACGCCTGCGGCTTCAGTGGCAGCGACGCGGGCGCGCCCCCATCCACGGGCGTGGCATATTGGCCGCGCAGCGAGTCCGCGTAGTCGTAGCCCCCATTGCTGCCCACGAGCAGGCCCGGCGGCGGGGCGGCTGCCGCCGGCGCCTTGGCCGAGTTGTTGCTGTCGCGCGGCGACACCGAGCTGGGCGGCGTCATCGCGTTGTGGTAGTCAATGGAGCTGTGGTAGCCGCCGTAGGTGGACACCAGATTGGTGAACGCGTCCGTCGAGTTGCCGCCGGGCGCCTTCTGGCCGCCCGGATGCGTCACCGAGGCGGCCGCCGCCGCCGAATGCAGCTGCAGATATTGATTCTCGTAGGAGGACTCGCTGCCCGGCGGCGTCGGCAGCGGCCCGCCCTGCTGCTCGCCGTAGAAGACACCGCCCACACCGACGCCCGTGGGCGTCTGGCGTGCCGTGGCCCGGATGACGCTCTCCCGATTGGCGTAGAGCTGGCGGAGCAGCGCGGTGGCCGGCATCGGCGCCGGCTGCTGATAGGGCGCGCCTATCCACTGGATGGTGCTGCTCTTCTCGTTGGGATCATGCTGCAGCTGCTGTTGCTGCTGCTGATGCTGCTGCTGCTGGTGCTGCTGGTGCTGGTGCTTGATCAGGGCATCTGCGCTGAAGTCTGTGCTGGGCTGGTTGTTGTTGTTGGCAGTGGGCGACGGCAGATGCTTGGACATGGCATGCTCCAGATCCTTGACAGCGGAATCTGCTCCGGCCGGCTGCTCGTCCACCATGCTGGGCAGGCGGCTGCGCGGCTGCTGTGCATCCCGCGGCTGCTCCAGCGCCGGCAGCTTGCTCAGCGGCTGCTGCTGCTGCTGCTGATCCACCTGCTGCTGCTGCTGCTCCGCCTGCTGCTCTTCGGCCTGCTGCGTTGCTTTGCTCTTGCGCTTCCTCTTTGTTGTTGTTGCCGCCGCCGTTGTTGTTGTTGTTGTGGTGGCGGGCGCTGGCGTCGGCACGGGCGTGGCCACCGTGACGGGCAGCACACCATCCACCTCGACGCCCAGCGGCGTGGGGCTGTCCTTGATCAGCGCCAGGCTGTTCAGATTGTTGCCGTGCGCGGATGCATTGCGTCCGCGTCCGCTGCGCTGCGTATGCCCCTCCGCATCAGCCAAGGTCTTGGGCGAGCTGAGGCCCAGCTTCATGTCGCCCGCACTCAGATGGGCATTGCCATCGCCGGCCGCATCGCCGCCGGGCGAGCCGCTGCTCTTGTCGTTGCCCAGGCCCTCCTCGTGCTTGATGCTGTCCACGCTCGGCTCCAGCTGGCAGCAGTCCAGTATGAGATTCTCGTTCTCCCGATTGCTAAAATCCAAGAGGAATATCCAATTAGTGAGTTGCCGGGATTAAGTATTTCTGGAGCTCACCTTATGACATAGTTGACGCAGATGATGTTCTGCTCGTCGGCGTTTTTGGTGCTGCAGACGACCGTGGCGCAGGTCTGGAGCCAGGTGTAGCCGCCGCTCTTGTTCATCAGTCGATAGTAGCCGGTCAGCACCTGACCCTTCTCGATCACTAGAAAACAAACTGGGCATGAGCTGGAACTCTATTGTGGCCTCTGATAGGTCGGACTTACGGTCTGTGTGGCTCTTGCGCAGGCGATTGGCGTCCTCGGCATGGCACAGCGAGTAGAGGCTCTTGTTGACCAGATCCTCCGGCGTATAGTCCAGCAAATCGGATACTCTGCAAGGCACAAAGACGACACTTTAGTAAAAGCTCAAGCATTGTCTGGCCGTTGACTTACCTGGGCTCGCAGTGCGCGACGCGCAGGTCAAAGTTGACGCGCGTGACAAACATGTCGCACTCCAGACGTATCTCGTGCACCGAGGGCGGCGGCAGGGCTATGGCCAAGGCGACCATGCCCAGCAGCGGAGGCTGCGATTTGCGTGTGTGCGAGAAGGTGTACTGCGGACGCAGCTTGCACAGCAGCAGCACCACCTGCAAAGGTACCAAGCAAAGGCGCTCGATTAGAACTCTGTCGCTCAACGCGTCAGCTGCGCTTAAGGCCTAAAAGAAATGAAAACCTTCTGCCGCAGCATTTGCCAGAGCTTTCACACGGACAGAGCGCACGCACGAGCGCGTGACGCGCGCGCCGCATGCGAAGTGCAGCAGCTTTCAAAAGCTCACTAATACCAAGGCAATCGAAGCTTTCGCAATGGATGCGCTGCGTTTTGTATTGTTGTAGCTGACTGTAGACTGTATATATATATTCGATACTGATCAATCTAAAATCAGTTTTGCATTGCCTTAACGAAATGTGGCCGAAATGGTTTGCTTATTTAATAATAAAAAAAAAAATTTTAAACTTAGCTCGAAAACTTTGTTTTTTTGGAAATTTGTTTTTGCCTTGCATTTTTTGTACTGATTTCAATTGATACGTACCGAATAGTTTGAGGCCGGATTCTTAACATTTTTACCATTGTTATTGCTACCGTTGCAATTGCTGCCCGCATCGCTGGCCTGTAGATAAGCAGTGGATGGGTAATGGTAATACGTGTAAACAGAATGCACATCAAATGCTCACAGAGACAATTTGTCAACCAAAGAACGGTTAGTCTACATGGAAAGCGACCGCCCCACAAAAACCGGACAGAACAAATCTAGGTGTTAGCAGCTCTACGTAACCAAAAAACAAACCAAAACAACTCATAACCAAATAATAATAATAACAACTCATAAGTAAATAAAAGAAAAACCGTGCTTGAATACACTACAGAAACGTCGCACACTAGACTACACGGGCAGCATCTGGGGAGCTGAGCAGTAAGAATACACTTTATTGGCGTGACAAAACTTACCCGATAGCCGGACGACTTGAAGTGGCAGCCACGTTTGGTTAGGGTAGACTTCATGCGTATGCAGAAGCTGCGATCGTAGCCCTTGTAGCCGCTGGTCGAGGCCTGCGTCATGGAGGCGGCCACTGCAAATAGAAAACAAATTCCCGAGTTAGTCAAGAGACTAAGCCAAGCTCCATTCAAATGGCAGACAACATGCTGCAGGACGCCCAGGATGCCCAGGATTTGCGTGTGGCAGGCACAACAACTCGGACTCGACTCACCGTCAGGATTGTTCGTACCGTGTGTTCCGCTGCCGTCATCCGAGGCGCCCGATGTGGGTGAGGCCAGGCCAGCAGCACCGCTGACGCTGCCCCCTCCACCTCCTCCACCCCCGCCGCCGCCTCCGCCGCCCGTACCGCTGGTCAGACTGAGACCCAGCTGGTCGGCAATTTCCGCATGATCCGCCTGGTGTATATAGTCGAATATGCTGCTGCCCGTCATCTCCACCTGCGACAGACCCAAGTAGATGGACACCGTTTCCGATATGTACAGGAAGCGGCCATCCGCTGCCACCGCCAAGGCGAAGCCATCCAGCGACTGCAGAGGGGCGAAAAAAAAAACAAATACAAATTCCATTAACAAACATTTGCATAAGCCTGGGTTTGGCAAAAGATGGCTGCCAGTGCAGCTAACTCTCCCTCTCTCCCTCTCTCTCTCTCTCTCTCCCTCTCTCTCTCTCGCTCTCTCTCCCGCTGCTTACCTGCAGTATGTGGGTGCCCTGATGTTGCTCGAACAAATCAACGGCGGGACTGCGTCGAATGGCTGCACCTGGAAGACAACAAGCGAATGCAAAGTGGTTCAGTTTAAGTCGGTTGAATGGGAAAACAAAATACAAAGTTGACAATAAAAGCTGCTGCAGCAGACCGAAGTCTAGATGCTCTTAAAAATTATTGAATATTTGATTTTTACCTAAACCTAGTTAGAACATGGCCTAGGCCTGAATTCACATACATTTTTTTAATTTTAGAAAATTGCCATAAAAGGATTTTTGGGAATATTAGATATTTATTTATTTAGTTTAGTTTATTTTAGTGTAAATTTTTCTAAATATGAGAAAAATGTTTTTTACCAAGTAAAACATTTTATGACATTAGGAAAATTTATTATTTCATGGCAAATTTATAAAATTAAGAAAATTATTTATTTAATAATGGACGAAAATATAAAGTGAAACAAATATAAACATAACTTGAATTTTTATATATTATAATATATAATATTTCTATGGTAAACTTTTATTTTATCTAGTACATAAAAGGATTTCAGTCGAAAGAGCTTAACAACTTGATTAACAGTTTTATATCTTACATATGCTAGTATTGAGAATTTATATATTGAAAAATTCGTATTCAGAAAAATTCACATAAATAAATATATAAATAAATGATAAATGCTTGGCCCAATCGAAGACAGGCTTTGCTTTTAGAAGACGATTGGACGAAAATTTATCTTTTATGAGCATAAAAATCGGTGGAAAACAGATTGGATCAGATACCGAAATAATTTTCACCTATTTTCCAGCTTTTTGAGGGAAATTAAAAAATGTAGATTTCTTAAAAAAATAGATATCTGTCGTTTGATTTAACTCCCAGCACACAATCTTTATATGTTATGTGAACATAGAAGTTTCTCGATCTAACAAGTCTGCAATTCATGTACTATAACATAATCATGTTAAACTCCGCCGATAAAGCAGATATTGCTGACCAAAACACATAAATGATGCGCACTCTCCGCCTGCCCCGCCTCCTCTCGAAGCACAATCCAATAATTCGTGTGGAGAAATACGGAGCATCATAAATATGAGAGGCCAGCCAATATTTTCTCAGCTGCTGCCCATTCGAAGCATATTTATTTAATTCAATTATAGAATTTTACGATTATGGGCGGGCCAAAGCCAACACCCCCTCCTCTCCCCCTCGCCCAGTACTGACCCAGCCTCAGGTCATAATTCGCACAAGTGCCAATCGCCCAAACCCAAACCCAAACCCAAACCCAAGTCGAAGTCCAAGTCGCAGGCGAAGTCCAAATCCAAGTGTGAGCCCATTCCCTGGTTTGTGTGCGCAAATCCCCAGCGATTTCGCTTGGCTCGCCAACTTGGCAAACAGTTTCCGCTTCCGCTGGCCATATGTGTGTGCTGGCCGGGGGATGGGACAAGGGGGGCAGGGGCAGGGGGCGGCGGCCAGCTCACCATAACAACTGTGGCTTTAATGACCTTCCCGCCCCACGCTTTAATAATATTTTTTTGTCGAGCGTTGTTTTTTTTTGGTTTTCTGTGGGTCAAATTGAAGTGCTTTTTATTGCCCGCAGCTTGTTGCTGCCTTTTCGGTTTTAGTTTCGCATAATAATCCAATTGAACGCCCGACCCTCCCGCTTACCCGCCCCCTTTTGACGCCCCATTGCTTTTGGATTACATTTTAGTGGCCCGTCTACCTTTTCGACTCGGCCAGCTGCCATTGCATTTGCGCCCGCCCAGCCGTGGCCGCCCCCCTCTCTACCCCCCTCTCTACCCTCTCCTCATTCAGCAGCGTCTCTTGGCAGCGCGCCTTGAGCTGGGCTCCAACTGTCGTCTGGGCCTGGAATGCTTTTGACGTGACAATAACTGCACGTCGACGTGGCCAGCGATGCGTGAACCATGACGTGGCAATGGCCATTGGCAACTAAAAATTGGCAATCGGCAACGTTTAACCATTTGTCTGGCCAGTTGGGAAATTCTGGCCAAGATTTTGCATTGAATGTTCAATTCTTAAGCATGTACAAATCTTTACATTGAGCTAAGTTAAGGGATTTAAGAGTGAAGGCATTTAAAGCTAGAAATCAAGCTAGTTCTGCTTCAAGGTGAGCTCCTATATCTTTTATCTTTTATTTCTTTTAGCTCATTTCCTATCTTATTTCTTATATCACAAATCTTTGATCATTTATATTTTATCCGCTTTAAGATGAGCTCCTATATCTTATATATTATGTCTCAAGTCTTTTATCTGAGATCCAAATATGATTTATCTAAACATCAAACTTCCTCTACTTTGCCATAACAAAGCCAATATCGAGGAATAAAGGATTTTTGGACTTTGTTTATCTTCTGGATTAAAAATCGCTGCATTTAGGAAAATACAATGTTTGAACATTTTTATACCCTGAACCCATTGAAAATGATTAAAAAGCGTATAATGTTTTTGAACAAATGTATGTTACAGGCAGAAGGAAGCATCTCCGACCCCATAAATTCGATCCAGCCATGCCTATTTCGTAAGAAAATCTCTTTAGCTAGAGTCCCTAATTTGACATGCATCTTGTAGAATAGTATATGCAGATTAAGTATTTTTCATTTTATGGCTACCCTTCCCTAGTGCGAGCTTCATTTGGTGTTGGTAGAAGAATGAATCTATTCTGTGTGTACAACTTAGTAGTCTGACACATTTTGCCATTACAAATACAATAGTTTATTGGGTCTTTAGTGCTTTGGGCCAAATGTCTTTCTGCCAAATCGGGAATCTTTTATGGCTGTTGTGAAAGCTGCAATATCTGCCTACACTTGGGGTTAATAAATCTATGATTTATACCGATATTTTAACCGATTCCACTTCGATCAAATACCGGCTAATGGCCCATTGACAGATGACCAAAGTGTGCGTGTTTATAGGCCTGGACTGTGGGGCTGTGGGGCTGTCTAGTTGGATTGGCCTTCTGAAATTCCACAATGACAGCTATGACAAACGGCAATGACAATAAAAATGCCCCAGCTAATTTAATAAGAAAATAAAAACAAATAAAAGGAGAGACAGCCAAAAAACACAAAAATCAAAAAACAAAAATGGCTGCGCATGCGCAGCAAATAAACAATAAACTGCGCTTAATAGCGATATTTTATGCAAATTGACAAATCACAAATCGCGGCCCCCAACGTCAATAACGCTGCTCGCTTCTCCCTGCTCGCTTCTCGCTGTTCGGGCCATAAGCAAAAGCCCAAAATCAAAATAAAGCCAACAATTTGCTGGCTTCAACATTTTTTAAGGTGCGCGCGCATATTTTTCTTTGGTTTTTGTTTTTTTTTTTGGCATAGAAAAGTTGACAAATTTTGATTTCACTGAACCTAAGCAGCTGGCCGCGACTGTTGAATGTAGGCAAATGTGTTTCCTGCTTTCGGTTTTATTGCTCATTCGCTCATTCTTGCCCCTCCCCTCCCCCCTCCTGCACTCGTTAACCAAACGCGCTCGCCACAACAATGGCGTCCAATATGGCCGCCCACGATCGCTCGCTGTACAGTCGCATATGCAAATGAGCAATGAAATTTCACTTTGCACTCACAGTGGCGGCCATATTAAAGTGTCCGATAAGCATGTTAACCAGCTGACAAGTCGTAGAAGGAACTGGCAATGCTTGAAGTATTTCAGTCGAGCATAAAAGATACTTAAATTAACGAGATACATTGCGAAACTTTTTTTTTGTTTATAAAGAAGTATCCCAGTATTCAGCAAAACCTCTTTTATATTTATTTAATTTATCCTGAAGTTAAATAAATATTTAAAAAAAAAATGGAAAACATTAATTTCCGAATAAAAATTACTCTCCTCCTAAACTATTTAAAGGATGAAACCAGGGAATTAACTTAACATTTAAATATCTCCATAGCTTATATATTATTATATATTATTTATTTTTAATTATTTCGTTTTTTGGTACTCACTTTTTAGCTTGCTGCTGCTGGACGCCTCGCGTGTCCATGGCGGATCGCCGTGTCCGGAAAAGTCTCTCAATTTCAAATAGCTAATGGTCAGTCTTATAATGGAGGCCTTGTCCAGCTGGCTGGTTATGGCCGCCGGCAGCGGCAGCATTTTGGCCAGCTCATAGAACTCATAGTTCTCCTTGCCGCGCCGCGAGCGTGCCGCATCCCTCGACTTCTCCTTGCGCAGCTCCAGAATGCTGCAACAAACGGAACAGAGATTAGCCAAACAATAATAAATATTGATATATGGGCAATATATAAGTAGACACTGACGAATGGCACAGCCAAGACTAGGCCAGAGCCAAGATCCTCCGGAGCGGCAGCGGATCTCTCACCTGTCGTCGCCCGAGCTGTCAATTTGGCAATTTGTTTGGCTCTGGACCGTCCGCCCGTCTGCCCACGCGGCATTGTGACGAAATGGTGTCAGATCCAAACAAATTGCCGGCCATTTGTCAGTCTTTCAACGGACGAGTTGCTAGCTGGGAGTCGGGTCTCTTTCGTGCTGTCTCACAATAGTTCTCACACGATCTCAATGGATCTCTATATACTATAATATATATCTTATTCTCATTCTTTACAGCTAGAAAAATTGCCGCTCATTTTCTATGCGCTACAGACTTTCCTTTGTCCAATTGTCCAAACTGTTTGCAGTCGATGTTTGTGTTTGTATCTGTATTTTCATTTGTATCTGTATCTAAAGCTGCATTTGAGAATGTATCTTTGAATGAATATATATTTGTATCTGTAAATGAAGCTTCATTTTTAAATTTAACCTGAAGTTAATATGCATTTGTATCGGTAAATGTATTTATATCTGTAGATGTATCTATAGATGTATCTGTATCTGTATCTGTATTTGTATCTGTATCTGTATCTGTATCTGTATCTGTATCTGTATCTGTATCTGTATCTGTATCTGTATCTGTATCTGTATCTGTATCTGTATCTGTATCTGTATCTGTATCTGTATCTGTATCTGTATCTGTATCTGTATCTGTATCTGTATCTGTATCTGTATCTGTATCTGTATCTGTATCTGTATCTGTATCTGTATCTGTATCTGTATCTGTATCTGTATCTGTATCTGTATCTGTATCTGTATCTGTATCTGTATCTGTATCTGTATCTGTATCTGTATCTGTATCTGTATCTGTATCTGTATCTGTATCTGTATCTGTATCTGTATCTGTATCTGTATCTGTATCTGTATCTGTATCTGTATCTGTATCTGTATCTGTATCTGTATCTGTATCTGTATCTGTATCTGTATCTGTATCTGTATCTGTATCTGTATCTGTATCTGTATCTGTATCTGTATCTGTATCTGTATCTGTATCTGTATCTGTATCTGTATCTGTATCTGTATCTGTATCTGTATCTGTATCGTATCTGTATCTGTATCTGTACTGTATCTGTATCTGTATCTGTATCTGTATCTGTATCTGTATCTGTATCTGTATCTGTATCTGTATCTGTATCTGTATCTGTATCTGTATCTGTATCTGTATCTGTATCTGTATCTGTATCTGTATCTGTATCTGTATCTGTATCTGTATCTGTATCTGTATCTGTATCTGTATCTGTATCTGTATCTGTATCTGTATCTGTATCTGTATCTGTATCTATCTGTATCTGTATCTGTATCTGTATCTGTATCTGTATCTGTATCTGTATCTGTATCTGTATCTGTATCTGTATCTGTATCTGTATCTGTATCTGTATCTGTATCTGTATCTGTATCTGTATCTGTATCTGTATCTGTATCTGTATCTGTATCTGTATCTGTATCTGTATCTGTATCTGTATCTGTATCTGTATCTGTATCTGTATCTGTATCTGTATCTGTATCTGTATCTGTATCTGTATCTGTATCTGTATCTGTATCTGTATCTGTATCTGTATCTGTATCTGTATCTGTATCTGTATCTGTATCTGTATCTGTATCTGTATCTGTATCTGTATCTGTATCTGTATCTGTATCTGTATCTGTATCTGTATCTGTATCTGTATCTGTATCTGTATCTGTATCTGTATCTGTATCTGTATCTGTATCTGTATCTGTATCTGTATCTGTATCTGTATCTGTATCTGTATCTGTATCTGTATCTGTATCTGTATCTGTATCTGTATCTGTATCTGTATCTGTATCTGTATCTGTATCTGTATCTGTATCTGTATCTGTATCTGTATCTGTATCTGTATCTGTATCTGTATCTGTATCTGTATCTGTATCTGTATCTGTATCTGTATCTGTATCTGTATCTGTATCTGTATCTGTATCTGTATCTGTATCTGTATCTGTATCTGTATCTGTATCTGTATCTGTATCTGTATCTGTATCTGTATCTGTATCTGTATCTGTATCTGTATCTGTATCTGTATCTGTATCTGTATCTGTATCTGTATCTGTATCTGTATCTGTATCTGTATCTGTATCTGTATCTGTATCTGTATCTGTATCTGTATCTGTATCTGTATCTGTATCTGTATCTGTATCTGTATCTGTATCTGTATCTGTATCTGTATCTGTATCTGTATCTGTATCTGTATCTGTATCTGTATCTGTATCTGTATCTGTATCTGTATCTGTATCTGTATCTGTATCTGTATCTGTATCTGTATCTGTATCTGTATCTGTATCTGTATCTGTATCTGTATCTGTATCTGTATCTGTATCTGTATCTGTATCTGTATCTGTATCTGTATCTGTATCTGTATCTGTATCTGTATCTGTATCTGTATCTGTATCTGTATCTGTATCTGTATCTGTATCTGTATCTGTATCTGTATCTGTATCTGTATCTGTATCTGTATCTGTATCTGTATCTGTATCTGTATCTGTATCTGTATCTGTATCTGTATCTGTAGTCGGTTTGTTTCATATTTTAACATAAGTTGCTCCCGCGATCCCCTTGCCCCGCGATCCTCTTGCCCCACTTGCCACTTGGCTCACTTTTATGTGGCTCGTCTCGCAGATGCCGCTCTACTGATACTGATTCGATCTGAGTTCCCTTAATGCACAGACTTTTCATTCAGCAGCTGCGCAACTGTTGCAAGCGAGCAGCGCGGGTCTCAAAGCCAGCCGCTGGATCTGTTGCTATTATCAACTGGCCCATCATCTTCGCCAGAAACTTGGCTTTAAGCGTTCATAATTTAAGTTTGTTGTCATCTTTCGTTGTCGTCGGGCTTTTTCGTCTTTGTCTTGTTGTTGTTGTTGTTTTTGTGTGTTTGCAGTGAAATTGTATACCCTAACATAATTCGGGCTTATCGATATTTATAAGAGATTTGAGGTTTTTGAGAATGAACAGAGAAATGTAGCAAATCTCCTGAATAAATTTATATACATCCTCAATTTACCTAGAAGTTCAATAGATAATAAAATACTAAAAAAATTATTCCACGATAAATATAGGTGGCTTGGATAAAATTCGTATTACATATTGATCGGGATTCAACGATTCTTATTACAACGAAGAGTTTCAGTTTCCAGAATCTAATAGATTATTCTAAGAAAGTTTGTGCCACAGATTCAAGAAGCAAAAACTTTTCAACACTGGTTTCTGTTCAATAAAATATTACTCAACACCGACAACACGCCGCATTTTATTTCTTATTCTTCAGATTTTCGCTGCCAAGTGCAGGGTATTTCGGGCACGCCCATTGACTAAATGATCTTTTAGCTGGCTCTCGGCTGCGCATTTGTTCATTTTGTACATTTTGTAGCCTTTTACATTTATTTTAATGTCTGTGGGGCATCTGTAAATGCGCTCATCACAAGCTCGAGCCTCGTTTTGAGTAACTTTATTAAAGCCGAAGCGGCTTCTGCGCTCCACGATTTCTGTGTCTGTGGCTGGGGCTGCGGCTGGGGCTGGGGATTTCTGCAGTCTGCTCTCAACGCTCTGATGCTTATCTGTGCTCAACGTCGTTTGGTTATAAAAATATTTTTGATAATTAAAATGAAACCGGCGTAAAGAGCGCGTATGGAAACCCGTACAACATGCGTCTGCCACGGGCCAAGCCAGTTTTTGGCCTCTTTTATATCCCAACAACATTTTTAATTAGTTTGTTAAATCTCAACTTGTTGTTGTTGTGTTGAAATTATGCTTAAAGATTAAAAGTACCTGAGTTTTTCTCATAAACTTGTAGTTCAAAGAACCTATTGAAATGGAACTGTTCGACTCTGACTAAATACAATTTTGTTAGCCAATTTGCCACACGTCGAGCAAATTACATTATTGCAGAGAGAAGCATCAATCTTTGCCGCATTCAATATCAATGCCATTCAAATTAGCCCCGAAAGAAGTGCAAAAGATCCCTTCACATTTGTCACGGCGCGCAAACGCCAAGGTGTCGCCTTGATAAATGATTTTTCTGCTCTTTTTTTAATTTCGCACAAAAAATTGCCAGCCAGAAGAAAAAATAACACAAACAGGGGCTGCAATTTGGCGTGTAAATTGCACGTCATTAGCGAAAATGAGAAACGAAACGAGGCGAGAATTTTCGCTGTATTGGTGAGCTTTGAAAGCTCTGCGTTAGGCGCCGGCAGCGACAGTAAAAGCTTTCTCATGCGTGAGCTGCGTCTGTGTGAAAGCTGCGCTCGATTGTTTTGCTTGTATTAGCTGCATTTCCACTTGATTAGCTGGGAAAGGCAATGTTTCGGTTATTTAGGGGCACAATATTGTCATTTGATTAAGGACTTAATGCGCTGGCGAATTAAGAACCTAAGCGGATTACATGATCTTATGTGCGCTACTGCGGTTATTTTTTTTTTGCCAATCAACCAGACCAGATCACGATAAGGGTAAGATGGGAGAAAATAGTTGAGCTATTTTTCTTTTTGTTTTCCCTTCACACACGGCACTCGCACACACACAAGGCGAAAAGAAAAACTGTCATCATAAAAGGATAAGATTGTTTCGGGCCATTGTTTATGGGCTGTGAGAAGTACCGTTATGGCTTTATCAGTTGCTTCAAGTCGTTTGCTTTGTTGCCAAACACACAACACAGCGGGATAACCGTAACTCTAGCTGACTGACATTATGTAATCACAGTTCGTGGAAAACGGGAAAAGCAAATAAAATTATTCGAAATAGTCGTAAAAATGATTCCAAATTGGGTCCAATTAGAAGTGGCGAAAAGAACCTAGATAACATTTAATGTTACTTCTGGATGGATTTGGCACAAATTTCAAATAAATTTAGAATTCGTTGAGATCGTTATACCAGTAGGAAATAGAACATAAAAAGGTATGCAAAATTGAAAGAAAGGCTAGAAGGAAATCTAATGAGAAGGAAACGAAGCTAAGTTGTAAAATATAGTAGAAACAAGTGAAGAGTACTTTAAAGTGATTTGCTAACAACTTTTCGATCATTTTCAATGCTCAAATATATTTCATTTTAAAAGTTGAAAGTAAAACAAATAAAATTCTTTGAAATAGTTGTAAAAAGGATCCAAAGTGGGTCCGATTAGAAGCGGCAAAAACACTAAGATGAAAATTCAAGAAATTTCTAAATAAAATTTGTTTTCTAAAATAAATATAATAGAATATATAAAGTAAAACAAGAAGATGGATACACAATAAGGAATATCGAATAGAACTAAGTATTTATGCAGATTAGAATTTATATAGAAATCAGGGAAGAGTATGTTTACATTATTTGCTGAAAACTTGCACACTTTTAATGCTAAAATAATCCAAGCATTAAAACTTAAGAGAAGAAATCAAATTGTGTGACTAAATAAAATAGGAAATGCAGTTTCCTAAGCTACTTGCTATGCATAGAATATCTATTTTCTCTAATAATATTATCTATGATAAATATTTTCTTTTCATATATAGAAAATAAGCAACAAAAAAGCATATACATACGTATAAGAAATACGCAGATTGAGTGGAGTTAAAGATTAAAGATTTTTTTGTGAATGAAATATTTGACTTAAAAAGATGTTACAGAAGTTACAAATTAAGGGGAGAACATTGGGAAAATCTTTGTTAACCAAGTTCCCTCTTCTAATATATTTCCACTCAAGAATATGCTAACATTAAATAAAAATGGACATTTGGTATTTAAGTATTTCATGTTATTATATCAATTTTAAGTCCAATTTTTGTATGTTATTGTGTGCTGGAAAAATTCGTTAGGCGCTCTAGGGATAGTTTTTGTACACAAAATAGTGCTCGGGTTGGTTTTGTAGAGCGTCTGACCTACAAAGGAACTTATTCGAAAATGGGACTTAAGATTGGCTCTAAAAAAGTGGCTTGCTCAAGATGAAGTTCGCCTAGAGGAGCTGTCCCTTTATAAAGCTTTCACTCTACATAGAAATACACTTTAATGAAAAGATTAATGGTTTTTTGTTTGTGTTTTTTTAAAATATAAGATAAAAGGCAAGACATTGCAATGGCTTATAATATCAATGGATATAATACAAGCATAATAATTGTTTTGGGGACATTTCTGACATAGAGCAATCTTTATACGAACTGTTGCAAGATTCGAGCTATGATATAAGAAAAAGCCTGGATTTACTTCTAGCTCGAAGTACCACAAGAAATCTGCGATTTATAGCTTGATTTCAGGACATAAACTTTGTAAATTTTCGTATGTCACTTAACATTTTACAGCACTATGCATTAGGCACTATTTAAACACTTGATTAGTATTTAGTATGTATTTGTATATAGGTTTTGTAATTTACCCCGTGTCAACTAACCCCGGTTCGATGGGTTGCTGTTGAGAGTGCATTCCTGGCGCGCCCGGCTGATGTTGATTGGGCATTTTGTTGTAGGGCGGCATGCCGCACAGATCCTGGGTGGGCACCATCCACGAGTGGCTGAACGGCACCGCCGACATGCCCAGCGAGCCGACCATGTGACTGCCGGGATGACCCGGCGTGGGCTGCCGCTGATAGCCGGCATAGTCCATGGCCACCGCCTGGTAGGGCAACATTTTAGCACTTGGCTTGCGGTAGTCCTCGAAAGGGTTTTGTCTGATAAACGTAACACTTAACTTGCACTCAACTAACACTGGCACATTTTCAATAGATCTGTATTGCACTTGCGGCTGTCGGGGGGGTGCGAGGCGTTTGCTTTGTTTTGTTTTGGCACACTTTACACACTCTCGCACACACACACACACACACACAGATATACACACACGCAGCCGGCTGGCAGGAGGTCAACGACGCATCCTTTTTGCGGCGTGTTGTTGTCTGTCTGGCAAATTGGAGCACGCGTACGTGTCAGTTGCTGTCTTCAATTATCCTTGGACCCGGACACACACACAGACACACACACGCACACGCACGTAGACGCGTGGGCGCAATACGCACGTAAAACTAACGTCGACGATTCGACTGACTGTCTGGCTGTCCGTCAGGCGCGCAGCTTCGATTGGCATTCAAATTAGCGTGCAATCGACTTGGCGGCCAGTTAATTCGCACGTCAGCAGCGTTCGGCACGTCGCTGGCGCAATTGCAGCAGCCAACTGAACGGCTGGACGGGCTCTGGTTCCGTTAGCGCGATTGGGTTTGGGGCCGGAGTCGCAGCCGGAGTTCGAACTGGAGCTGGAGCCGTGGCTGATAGTCGACGCGTCGCGGCCTGCAAACAAATGGGCGCCAATTACGCACGCACAGGGTGGCGCACAGACACAGACACACACACACACACGTATAGAGGCACACGGATACGGATACGGCTACAGTTGCACGGCCGGGCAGCGTACGTGAAAACTGCAGTAAAACGGCGTTGAAAGTAACGTAAAAGAAGCAGAAGAGGAAGCAGCAGCAACAGAAGCAGAAGCTGACGAACTAGAACTGCTGCGCGCGTTACGAGAGTTGTGTTTACGTAGTACGTCCGTTGCGGGCGACGAATACGTGCAGAATAATTCAGAGTCACGTTCACGTCACGAACAAAACCAAAGTAAGGCAAAAAAAGGCAGCGCTGCCATAGACCCCCTCACACACACACACAGAATCACACGCACGCACACTGAGCGCAAGAGAGAGTCACGCACACAGCTAGACTATTTTTTGGGGGTGACATCTTTGACTCGACACGAAGCAGCCGAAGCGACAAGCAACGAGCGAGCCAACGAACGTGAGCAGCAGCGGCGCCAGTGTGCGTGCGTGTGTGTGTGTGTGTGCACCTGACACAGCGCCTGGTCATGTACAGGGCGCACCAGTAGCATTTTAAGCAGCCTCACGCTCCAATTCGCCGCAAGCTCTCTCGTTTCGCCGTCGCTCTGTAGTCAGCGCCGCTAGTGTGGGTGTTGTGTGTGTGCGCTCGCGTGTGTGTGTGTGTGTGTGTGCGTGCAAATGGGCGGGACGTGACTGCCGTCGAATCGGAATCAACATAGCGCGCATACCAAATGAGCACAGCAATGCGTGCGAGCGAGAGCGTGCCTCATGCATTGAGCAAAGCAGCGCAGCTGCCTTTGTATGTTTATGCTAGTATGTGTGCGCTTATGTGTACGTGCAGACGTTTGTATTGTAAACTAAAACTGGTTTCGCCTGCTCGCTCGCTCACACGCACGCACTCGCATGCAGTGGCTTGGAGTGCCGACACGTTGGCTCTTTCTCTCACTCTTTTATATACTGCTTAGCTGGTATCCACAGTTTTCGTTGGGGCTGCGTCACGCGCAGCAATTAGTTTACTTCTTTACACATTTGGGAATTTGTTTAGCGGCTCTTTCGGCTGTTTGCCTCTCGCTCTCTCTCGCCTGCTGCCTGCGCTCGTGTGGGAGTTTTGTTGTCTGTCGCTCGCTTTTTATGTGTGTTTGTGTATGTGACCGAAATGCCAATGACAAGATGCCAATGGTGGAGCAGGCACAAAGCCAACAAAGTTCGGAGTTGGAGCCGAGCCTGGCCAGGAGTAGCGGCTGTAACGAGCCCTTCCTGCGTGCGTGTTCGTGGGGGCGAGACACAGGTAGCTCTGGGCCAGGATTTTCCGCTGGCCAACAATTCGCTGGAAGGGGAGGTGCTTTTTATTATTCCGTCCTCGCACATCGACAGCGAGCGGCTTGAATTTTACTTTTGCGCCTGGTTTTTATGCGTTTATAATCATTTTCAAGCAATCCCAGAAATTGTTTAATTTCATCAATGGGCCAACACGAAATGTGAAAGTCTCTCGTCGGCCATTTTGTTCTGAGTAAAGCCACAAACAGTAACAACCGGCATCCAGTGTGCACAGTGAAAATAAAAAGTGTTAAGTAATGGATAAATTTTCCAGAACCAATACATTTTTGCTATCATGGAAAAATATATGTACTTACTACAACTAGCTATATTATTTTATATATAAATGTGTACCTATGTACATATAAATATAAATATTTGTATGATAATGAATTAAATATCCTAAAAAATTGATAAAAATAAAATTTTTTTTTTATATGTTCAGTACAAATAATTAATACATTACGATACATTCGGAGACAAAGTCAAGAATTCCGCAATTCTGTCAAATATGTACATAAGCATGAAAAAGATATTCTTTTTTCCAGAAGTTTTCTTTTTTTTCAGCTATTGCTAAGAACAAAAAGTTATCACGAAAAATAACATAGGTTGTCTAACTTTTTCTCGAATGAAAAGTTTTCAAATCAATAAAAAAATTGCAAAACTATCCCAAGTTTTTCTACTTTCTAGATTCAGTTCTTAATTTAAGAAAGAAATTTTAATTAAAAAGTTTTAGGATTTGTTTAAAAAAAAACAGCATTTTCAATTACCAAAATATGTTGAAATTCATTTTCGTATTGCTCTATGAGGCTAGATCACACATAGATTTTTTTGTTGATATTTTTAAAAGGCAAAAATAATATGGTTCCCGAGGTAAATTATTATTTCAAAATGCACAGGAAACCACCGAAGATATTGCTAAATTGACTTTATCTATATACATATATTATATATTTATCTATATATAAATTGCAACTAATCGATAATTGGAGCACTTTCTCTAATCTTTTCCAGTTCCGTTGTTATCGATTGTTTTTGCCTGCTCTAATTGGAGCACCCAATCAATGACTTGCACTTTTTGTAGTTGTGTTTTTTTGTTTTTGCCACGTCCTCGTAACTGTGCTTCAGAAATTACGTAAGCGCAACGTAACGTAAGTTGAACATGTGTAGAAACGTGATCGATTTCTTGAGACCAGTTGCAGAGTTAAAAGAGAGTGGCCGAGGGAGTAGGAGAGCGAGAGAGAGAGAGAGAGAGAGAGGGGGGGGGAGAGAGGAGAGTCAGTGGCAGACAAGTTGGCGTAGCGAATTCTCCCACAATTACGCGTCGCTGGCGGCAATTGTGAATTTTAAAAAGGAGACGTGCCAAGTGCCAGTCGCGGCAGGCGCTGCACTGTGGGCGGGGGGCGGGGTGCGGGGTGCGTGGGTGGCGCTATGCCAGTGGGCGTGCGTGTGCCTGTGCGTGTGTGTGTTTAGGTGAAGGCGTAGACAATGAATGAGGAACTAAAATTCAACGCCAGCTGCCCATTTGGCCCGTTCCCGTTTGCCATAAAAATCGAACGTGAACGTGGAACGCCGATGAACGCGCTGCGCTTCCGGTTAGCAGCCGATTCGACAAATCGAAATCGAAATCCACGTGCAGACAGCGGCCAGACCGAAAACGACATCCAGACATTGGCAATTGGCCTGAACGGAGCTGGAGCCGAGCGTGCAGTGTAGGTCGGGAAATTGATGCGTGCGGATGATGCCTCGAGGACAATGGCCATGGACGTGGACGTGGACGTGGACGTGAACGTGGAAGCAAACGTGAACGTGCAACGATGCGTGCGAGGCGCCCACTCGCCCCCCGTCCCCGAGAAACTGTATCCCGAGCTGGAGTCAAGAGTCTGAGCAACTGCGGCCTGGCCATATAAAGGTGCGTGTGCCCGGCCGAGTGCGTGCTGCGGCTGTTGATGGACCTATTGGACATGAGTTTGAGTTTTCATTTCGGTTTCGGTTTCAGTTTCTGTTTTGGTTTTGGTTTTTGAAAAACGCGCCGGCTAAAATAATATATATATAGTATATCGCACACGAAATGTGTATTCCAGTCAGGAGCCGTTCGCTCCGGCTGCCAATTGTTGCATGACTTTATGAATGGGGCCGGTCGGTTGTGGCCGGCACGTATGCAAGTGCTTCCCTCTAATCAGTTGGCAGACCTCCCTCCCCCTCCCCCCACACACTCCCCTCTCTCTCCCTCACTCTCTCGCACACAGACAGGAAGAAGCGCCAAGTGAGTGAGCTGGTCAAGAGAGGCGCCACTTGCCAGTTATCCATCACGTTTTCTCGGACACACGAGGCATCCATTTCAAATAGCCAACGGGCCAGCGGGCAACGTGATTTGCGAAAATCAAAACAAACAAACGAAGAACTTGGCGTTTGCCAACATCATTTAGCTGTTCGATAAATTTATCGAATGCTTAAGTATCGATGGGTAAGTCGATAGACTGATTTATCGATAAGGCAATTGTTGCCCATGGTGACAAGATATTTAGCTAAAAGTTCTAGTTGCAGTGTTGTTTTTTGTTTTCCCAAATTATTCGATAAACTTATCGATATAACAAAAGTTCCGCAGCAACAGTTCTAGTTTCATTTTTTGGCCAAATCTATCGATAAACTTATCAATCAACTGATTAACTAATCTTCTCTGCTACTAGAAGTTCAAGTTACAGTTTGAGCAATTTTTATCGATTAACCTATCGATTCAATGTTTCGTTCTTATAAAAGAATGTTGCAACTATTCTATATACATATATATGGCTACAATTCCAGTTAAGGATCTCCATAAACTAATCGATAAATTGATGTATCGATCTCACACACCATGGTCTTGTTTTGGTCTTCACTGTTAAGCCAAGCGATTAAATGTATCAAGCCACAAACCGATACATTTATCGATAAGACAATTCTTTGATTTACAACAACAACAAAAGCTGCCCAAGGGTGAAGTCTACGTTCTTAGTTCCAGTTTCAGTTGCCGGAATTTGTAGTTCCTTTTGCAGTTCCAACTGCTGCTAAAAGTTCTAAGCAAATCGATCGATAAACTTATCGATAAATCAATTCGAAAACCTGCTCAAGGATGCAGTCAGCATTGCTAGTTCCAGTTCCAGTTGAGGACCCAGTTGTTTAGAGGAAGCAATAAACTAGGCGCGATCGCTGATCTGTCACGATCTTTTTGCTCTGGACAGCAGCCCACAGGAGAAAGCAATAAAACTGACACAGGTGATAAAATAACACAACAAGATGATTCGTTTTTTTAACGTTTGCTTCTTTCTTTCTTTTTTCTCGCTCGTTTTTTTTGTTTTTGTGACTTCGAGTAGCAGAGAAATGCGCATTATCAGCGTGTAGGATCTGGCAGGCGAGGATTTTATGGCGCTGTGAAAGGTACCATAACTGTTCTTGTGCCCTGTTACACAATCGAAACACAAAACGATTCATAATTCACAAAAAGCAACAACAACAGCAACAACAAACCACAAACCCAAACAAACAATTAAGCAATAAAAGAGCGCAGAGTTCGAGTGTGCGAGCGAGACGGCATTCGGCTGGAAATTGGAGACATTCGAGCTCCGGGAGCTGAGAGCTAGATCTCTATCACACTGTGCGTGCTTCTGGAGAAATGCATATACTAGATGCCCCCTGGCTACCACAAAATGTTGCCCCTGCCCCTGCCTCTGCCTCTGGGGCGTAATAATTTGTATTTAACCAGATGATGAACTGCAAGATCAACTGGAAGATCACTTGAAATGTATTAGTTGGACTTTGGGTCTTGCTCGAAGGATCAACAGGCCGGACTTGTGGAAAGGGTTTCGATTTCAATGGAGATTTGTGGCAGGGCCAAATTTCTGCTATAAATCCAAATATAAGCAGG